TTTCTTCTCCGATTCCTACTTTACCCCTAAAAATAGACCCATCTTTCTTCTCCGATTCCTACTTTCCCCAAAACTAGACCCATCTTTCTTCTCCGATTCCTACTTTACCCCTAAAAATAGACCTATCTTTCTTCTCCGATTCCTACTTTACCCTAAAAATAGACCTATCTTTCTTCTCCGATTCCTACTTTACCCCCAAAAATAGACCTATCTTTCTTCTTCGATTCCTACTTTACCCCAAAAATAGACCTATCTTTCTTCTCCGATTCCTACTTTACCCTAAAAATAGACCTATCTTTCCCAAAGTTATTTCTAATTTATCCTGATATAAGCAAACTGTGTAATTGAAATCTATTGAACCTCTGATGGTCCTAAAAATTTCAACCAAGCCCACAATTCTTAAACATAACCTATTGCTCCTTATAAACTCCACCCTTTTATCTCTGAATGACCTCTAACCATATAGAAGTTTTTGCTAGTGCTAATTAGTTGTAAATTTGTGCTTAGATTTTGTATGTAACTGATCTCAACAAATATAATAAAGAAAGCATTGAGAAAAACTAAATAAAATACATCGTTATGAATGGTATTAATTTTTGCTAGTCAGTGAAATACATCGTTAAATTGACACCGATCCAGAGGTTTGTTATTCGATGAAAAGGTAAAAAAGAAAGAATCCATTGATTAATATTATTCTAGTACTTTTTTTGGTTTTTAAAACTACATTGCTGAGTGGAGATATTTAGGTTTATTTATTATAAATAGGTAAGACATTTTTTAATGCTGTAGTTTATTTTAATAAAAAAGTAAATAGTTATTTGTATATTTGTTGTTGAGCAAAAAGCTAAATAATGGGCTATTTGTGCCGTGCCCATCACGAGTATCAAAACCAAATTTTTAGCATTATAATTACAGAGACTTATCACTGGCAAGTAAATAATTTGATTTTAAGTTAATTCAGATTTTTATTTTAAGTAAAATTAAATTTTATTATGAAGAAAATTTATCTATTTTAGTCATGATAAAAACTGAGGCAAAAATGCATCATATATGTGTGTATGTGCATCTATACTTAACATTAAAGGCTTAAATCAGTAAAGAAAATCTATCAATTATTCAAGCAGTGCTTCTGTACGAGTGCATGTGTGTAATTATGTTGTTATTTTTTTTTATTAAAGTATATTATCCATGTTTTACATCTTTCACAAACGTATGTAATATAACTTTTAATTGTTTTTTGTTAGTTTTACTTTTACAGTTATCAATGAAAAGTTAATCTTTCTTTCCTCACTAGACAAAAAAAAAGCTATAATTTTCATTGATGCTGTTTTCTTATCAGTAAAAACGTTTGTTTAATTTGTATATAGGATCAGTGGAAGCAATTGGATAATTCTTATTTACCAGTTACTCGATCTATGATGATGGTTGTACTTCAGAAACTTGAAGCTGTACTGATCAGAGCTACTGAAGGACCTGATGTTAAGTTAGCAAAGTAAGAAATGACTAGTAAAATAATGGTTATCATTTTATTTATTTATTTCAAAACTATCGGGTGCTTTTTTTCTTTTTGTATAATTTTATGAGAGTGTGTGACATATATGTGTTTAGTTCAGCAGGCAACTCGTCTGATGTTATTCACAATATTAGGAAAACTCACAGGTTTAAGAACTCAATTTAACTTAAAAATACGATGCTCTATAACCCAAGCACTTTCAAAAGGTGAACCTCTTTTCTTTGAGGGTAATTATTGAAAATTCTAATGTAATGTAATATGTTGTTTGAGGTTTGAAAAGACTAGTACTTGGAGAAAACTTGAGAAAATTATTCTGGGGTTACTTTATTAAATGTTAACTCAGGATAATCTAACTCTGATAAAATGGGTTGGTTAATATACTCAGCTTGTGAATAAGTATATTAATAGTTTGTAGCCCATTGGCACAAAAATATGCTCATACTTTTGGGCTAAGGGTATGTTATAAGAGTGATGGTCAGATCTTACTGTTTGTCCAGATAAGAGTAGTTCAAGAGTTGGCAGTGGATGCTGTTTACTAATTGCCTTTCTTCTAGTCTATCACTCAAAAAGTAGGGACATTTATGTACAAGTAGCTCTTTGCATAGGTTTGCTTGAAAATTGTGAAACATACAAAACACTGCCAGTTACTTTGATCCTGTTGAGCTATCTTTCTTCGATATTAGTGTTTTCAAAAATATCTTTATATTTTGATCAGGAATTTATTGTGAAGAGTAAGCCTGAAAATTTTTTTATGATTTTCATTATTTAGTCAGTTTAAATTACATTAAATTAAATACTGTTGTTTTTATGGAGTGTTTCAGCACAGATTTGCATTGGAGTTTTCAAAAATATCTTTATATTTTGATCAGGAATTTATTGTGAAGAGTAAGCCTGAAAATTTGTTTATGATTTTCATTATTTAGTCAGTTTAAATTACATTAAATTAAATACTGTTGTTTTTATGGAGAGTTTCAGCACAGATTTGCATTGGAGTTTGTTACTGCAGCATATGTTAAGCTCATAAAAGTATATTAAGCTGTTTATACTAAGTGAAATTTTTAACTATTCGTTTTTAAATTAAACATTAGTTATACAGAGTATTATTAAAAAAAAAGACCATAAAATATCAGTATCAGCTGTTTATGTTGTCGTGTAATACATACATAAAATAGGCTTCATGTGTAGCAAAGTACTTGCATGATAATACATCAAATCTTCTGGTGGATAAAAAAACCTTGTTTAATGAAAATATCTCAAACTTTAACACAGTAAATTTTAAGAACTTCATTGAAAAAGAAATCCAACAAAACTAGTACTTGCAACAGTTGGTCTTGTCTTCTTCAAATTGTTTCTTTACTCTTGAGGAAGACAGTTCCACCTGCAAGAGTGGAAGGATTACATTTTCTTTATGCGACTTCTTTCACAAACTTACAAGTTTGCATATTTTGGTACTTTTGAAATAAAAATTAAGTATTCACATTTATTGGTAGGAATATTATGTTTATGTCGGCATGTTAAACCTAACAGCTTCACTTAATAAATTATAGAGGAGCACTGTTTCCTTCTCTGAAAATTAGTTTCTTGTGTGACACCTCACTCTAATATAAGCATTATATATATATATATTGTTAGGCAGAGTAGACTTCTATATCTGACTGTATAAAATTTACAATATGAGTTTTCACTTGTGTTGAAATTCAGGCTGCCACAGTGGAATATTATGAGGTAGGTTGCATGTTTTCTGTAAATCAACTTGAGACCTTCAGATTTTATTAATTATACATGTTCGTATAATAGTTGTTTAATAAGGTGGTGCTTTTAAAAACTGAGGATAAACTTGAAAAGATCATCAATTATTTATACATATCTCTTCCAATTTTCCTTTCAAGGAGAAGAAAGAATCATCTTTTCAAGGAGTTTTTATAATAGAATAATCTGTATATATTATTTCTGTTCTCAAAGAATACTGAGAATTATTCACAGTCCATGGTAAAAATCTGAGTATCTAATCGTTTTGTCCTTAGCCACTGACTACATAGGTTAATAGTCTTGACTCTTTTGTCACAATTCAATTGAGATCTGGTGACTTTCAAGTGAAGTTAGTTTTTAAAATTTAACCATTGTAGGAATGATATTACAGGGAGTTCTTCTGTTCCATGACCATGAAAGCGTGCAAGACCTGAAACTTTAGTGTTTTGAAGAAAGGGGTATCTGCAGCACTGAAACACATTGTTAAGGTAATGGGAACACATGATTTCGGCAAGGAAATAACAGTCTAGTCCACAACTGGCTATCTGTTGCACACCAGAAGTAATGAAGAAAGTTAAACACCTAGTTACTGGAATCAATCTAAGAACGGAGTCATACATTATAGTTAAAGTTGGAACCTCCTTCTGTAACCAACATAGTTTTAGGTCTGCAAGAGCTGCAAACACAAGTTTCTTCCAAATCACTTAGCTGAATGGAAAGTAAACTGAATGTTGTATAACGGGTGTCTGACATGTGTCAATTGGAAGTGTGTAATCATACTAGATGAAGTAAATGCCTCTTTAAGCAAACATATGAGCAATTTACTATTATCCTGCTGGCAATACAATATTTCAGAAGTGGTAAAGAGCATATCATAAAAGTTATATGGTGGTTGTAGATTACAGATATTATGGTAAATTAAGCATAGAAGAGTCAATAAAAATTCGAAAACGAACTCAAAATGCTATCAGACTAATGAGATGTCATCACTAAACCATAAGAAAATTACCCATCTTTATGTGAATTGAATGTTAATAAAACAAAGAGAAAGCATCAAGTCACGTGCCCATGTCCAAATCTCAGTTCCTCCACAAGAAGCAACTACAAATAGGAATTCATGTCATCCCATTTGAAAACATCTCTATTGGATTTCTGTGCATTCTGGACTTCAGAAAGGATGTAAAGAGGAAGGGGCAATATTCCTTGGAGTATTGCAAAAGAGCCACCTACAATAGAAATTTCTCTGCATACCAGTAATCCATAATTGGAACCCTAACACAAAAACAAATCAGTGTTCCTTGAAGGGACTGTAAGGTCTAATCCTAGTATCATTATTGTACCATTACCATAGATTATAAACACCATCTGTTTGACTGTTTTGTAGCTTAATATTTGTAGTATTAATAAATTTGTATATCAAAAGAACATGACATAAACATTATTTTATTACTTATTAAATGTACTCAGTTTTGTTATAAGTTAATTTTTTAAAAGTATCATTCCCATTTTGCAAAAAAAAGTGGGTCTGTTCCAACCATTTTTGAGCCCTTATCTGTATGTGTAAATTTTCAGTTTTATTGATAACAAATAATTACGTTCAAGCTTTTGTTTTGTCAGCTTTAATCAAACTTGCAGATGTTTTTAATATTTATCTGCTCAAATTTTATATTTGATACTTTTCTGATAGTCTTTGTTTGAACTTGATTACAAATTAACTTTACATAAACTTTTACGGGTTTTGTTTACAGGATCTATGTATAGAATCAAAAATAATGAATTTGGATCAGAATGAACTCTAGATGTCACACTTTTTTCTTAACTTGTGAAAAGAATCAACATCCACAATATATGTAAATAACAACACTTCTGTAAGTCAAACTGGTATTACAGCATGTTATTACACTGTCATGGGGACTGAAGTTCAGAAGGACACAAATATTACTAACTGGTTAATAAAAGAAATAAATTCTTAATTTAATTAATTATAATTTTATTTATTTTACTATCTTTATGGAATGGTTTTGTAGGTTGAACAAGGTATTGATGCAAGTGGCTTCACCTTTATCTTCCCGATCGGCAACTCCTTACATTGCTGTTGGAGTTGAAGATTGTAGATGTCCTCCTCGATACACAGGTTATTCTTGTCAGGTACTGTTGTCAACTTTGCAATGACTTATGACTTTTGTTGAAACTTTTGTCATCTTTACATACTTTGTATTTATCTTGATTTAATTTGTTACTAGTTATGCTAGAATTTGAAATTGTTCTACCTACACCTGTTTGTACCTATTTGTACAAGACGTCATACTCCAGTGATTTAACTGTATGTTGTGAAAAATTATTAACATGATCAAATAAAAAATTAAAAAAGGTAGAATTTTCATAGATTAAAATATCTAACATTATGTGAGAGACAAATTTTTAATACAATATATGTTTATAATTAATCAGTTTTTGCTGATAGATTCTGCAGAAAAAAGAAAGTGTTTTTAGAAACACAATATCATTACAAAACATATTTATCTAAAGAATTGAATATAAAATGTTAAAGTTGCCAATATTTTGTTATGCATGGGATGATTTTCTTATGAAAACTGTGTTACCTATAGGATCCTGCTGATGGTTTCTACAGAAAGAGAAAACCTAACTTTATTGACAGTAAGGATATTCTGGACTTGGTGGGTTGGGCCGAACCATGTGACTGTAATAACAAAACGCCTCACTGTGATAAAGAAACTGCAGTCTGTATTGTAAGTATCGGTTATTGGATACTGCATTACTTCTATTATGATGTACAAAGAAGAATACTGGGTAGGGCTGAAATATGTATGTGCTGCTCATGCTTTGTTTCTGAATGAGGTGATGTTTTGGTATCTGTTATTTTTTCATAATTTGAAAAATGAAAGCAACTTTACACACCAAAAGACATGAACTAGCTTAGCCTAAACCCAAGAGATCATTGACATTTGGATGCCCACTCTTCCTAACTGTGCAACCACAGTTGTGAAGTCGCACAATATACAGTCACTTTCTTCAAACACCACAACTACACGTGTGACAGCATTCACCAAAAGTAAAACTTGAGCTCTGTAACAAGTCTATGCACCCAACATAACTTCTGCATCACATAAGACAGAGTTATGTGAAGAAGGTTTTGGCACATCCCACTTCAGAAAAAAAAGAGCAGGAACAGTCTATTAGAAATTCCATCCCTACGTGTCTCATCTACCAAAATGACAATGAAATGAACTAGTCTGTATTTGTGTTTTTGTAGAATTTTGGTCCCAACATTTCAGGGGAACTATTTAAAAATGGCAATAAAACTTGTATTTTAAACACCAGTTAATGAAACTTGGATAAGTTATGTGTAATTAGGTCTGTTATTTATGATGAACTTTTTGTTGAAGATATTTTCTCTAAATCTGTATTTTTATAGCAAAACTGACCTCAACATTTCAAGAGATTTATTTGAATTGCCATTTTTTTAGAACTGCACAGGAAATACGATAGGTCCACACTGTGAATTTTGTGCACCTGGATACTATGGAGACCCTGCAAAAGGCCCTTGTTATCCTTGTGCTTGTCCTTTGTCAACTAATAGGTCAGTATATGTTCAGTAATGCATCTGTAAAGAGGGTTGTAGTATTGTAGTATTCTAATGTACATGTACATCAGTTGATTGAAAACTGATTAAAAGTAGTCCTAGGTACATTTATTTTACAATGATAGAAGCAGCTTCCTATCATGGAAGTTCTTGTTAATCTTGATCAAAGTTTGTAAATAATAATCCTTTATTTAGTTTTTAGCTTGGACAAATTTTCATTGCAGGCAGTATTAAGAAAATCAAACTGTTTTAATAATGACATGCTGTTAAAGCTGATGACTGGCAATCATGTTTTTCTATGTTTAACCCTTTTGCAACAGGGTTGGTATAAAAATACCAAGTCCATATATAAATTTGCACTCATTAAGTATTTATACTATAACTTTTAATACAATATGTGTATCTTAACTTTTGGGAAACTTTTTGGTAGACTTTTGGGAAACATTAGAAGTCTTTTGTACACACAAAATCAGATTTTTTAATGAAGTATTTTTATTTAAGATTTGTTTGTGAATATATCGAGTTTGTTTTGTTACTAGTCTGATGTGAAAAATGATTTTTATGTTATGGTTAAGAATACTATTCTTTATCCAAAAACACTCAAATTTAATTTGCTTAACCCTTTCGAGAAGGGTCACAGATGAAAGACCATGTCATCTCATTTGTTGACTTGCATTCAAAATTTTCTTGTACTACTATTTCATGAATTTATGTCAGTAAGTTTGGTATCAAACTGTAGCTTATAATTCAAATTTTAGAACTATACATTACTCAATTTGTTAATTTAAAAGTAAATATAAAAAAAACACAGATAAACATCGATTTTTGTGTGTCACATGGTATGTTGAATGCAGCACCAGTTCAAATTAGATGTTTGTCAAGGCAAAATACTAAGTCTATAGTTTCATACGAATTAGAAACTCAAATTACTGATATTGACAAGCTAGAATATAAAATAAGAAGATCTTATCTTTTCTATTTGCTAAGATATTGCTCACATAATAAGTCAAACATAATGGCACTCTGCTCACCTCTTTCCATTTTTGGAAATGCTTCCTTATATACACTTACTTTTATATATGACATGAATAACCAATCAGAAGCTCATAAAGTTCTGCTAGTGGTTTTCTTAGCCTTTCAAATGCGTCTACTGCCATTTCTTTCTTTTGAACCAAGATTTCAATGAGGTAAGTTATGTTTTTAGTCTGCTCAAAATTTCATATTTTTTTTAGACCCAAATACAGCTTAGTTACTAAGCTTGATAAATTGTGGTGGAATTCTATGGATTGATGTAGTAATTATGATTTTTTAGTTATTCAAAAGTATATATAAAACCTAAAAAAAAATATTTTGTTTCATATCCTTCATGTGTGAAATTTTATAAGGCTTAGCAACCTATGACAAGCAGCAAACAATTACGAAGATCATAACTAATTGTTTGCTTTACTTTTTTATTTATTGTTCTATGTTTTAAGAAAAATAAGTATAAGAAGTTATTTGTGAATAGTAATAATGTGTATACATATATTATGTATAATAATTGAAAGGTGACTGTATTCCAAAACATACTTACGATCCATAACTAATTGTTTGCTTTACTTTTTATTTATTGTTCTATGTTTTAAGACAAATAAGTATAAGAAGTTATTTGTGAATAGTAATAATGTGTATACATATATTATGTATAATAATTGAAAAGGTGACTGTATTCCAAAACATACTTAC